CCCTGCTGCCCCCCCAGCCCCTTCCCAAGCCATCGGGAAGCTCTCGGTGGGCAGCGGGCTGGGGCAGCAGTGCGGGCAGTCCTGCCGGTGGCAGAGAGTGAGGATGGGGCCTGCTCCGAGGATGAGAGTCTCTGGGATATCTCCAGCCTCCCCGAGCCCTCAACGGAAGATGAAAACAGAGAGGAGAGCTGGAGTAGTGGGGAAGGATATAGCTCAGTGTCCCTCCCGTGCCAGGCATGGGCACAGACACCCCAGGACTCTCAAGCAGGCACAGCCTCAGTCCCTGGCCCAGGTGTCAGTAGCACAATCTCTTACACCAGGGCAAAGGCCCCTAGCCCGCATGGCTTTCCAGACCGCTGCGCCCTCAGCCCCCGGCGAAGCGACCTGGAAACTCGCAGTGGGCAGTGGGCAGGGACAGCAGCCAAGGCCGTCCTCTCAGTGGCACCGAGCCAGGACGGCGCCTGGTCTGAGCAGCTCTCAGACAACTGCAGCCTCCTAGAGCTGCCCCCAGAGGTAAACAGCAGAGACCAAGGCTGGGCTAGTGGAGAAAAGGGGTTCCCCGTGCCCGTCCCACGGGAGGCTTGGGCAGAGCCCCGGGGCCTTCAAGCAGCCAAAGCCAGAGCCCATGCCCCAGCTGGCCGCATCAGCAGCCCGTACATCAGGCCAAAGGCCCCGACCCCAGACGCCCGCCCCCCCAGCCCCTCCCCAAGCCAGCTGGAAGCTCTCAGTGGGCCGTGGACAGGGCTCTGGACCATCTGCGGGGAGTGGCGAGGGGAAGAAAACACAGAGCAACCGCTGTCCCCTGAGGAAGACAGCAACAACAGCAAGCTGTCAGAGGAGGACGGGGAAGGCGTCCAGATCTACACCATCTGGGTCAAGCCCTCCCTCCTGCCAGTCCTGCTGCAGCCTCAGACCGCTAGCCGGGAAGGGCCCCGATGCGCCTGCCTCATCTGCGCAGAGGCGGCCCAAGAGGCAGGCGGGGACCCGCACAGCGCCTCTCCTGCCCCGGCGGGTGGCAGGCACAGCCAGCCAACAGCCGCTGCCCCGCAGCGCCCCAGAGGCTGCTGCCCCACCGTGCTGGACGCGCTGCAGCGCGTGGCACGTGCCACCCTGAGCAGGATCGCAGCTGTGATCCGGTGCTGCGGCCAGCAGCCAGGGGCAGAGCGGGACCTGGCTGGAGGCATGGATGCAGCCATGGTGGCAACAGCCCCAGCAGCAGGGGCGGAGAGCCAGGCAGCTGCCCTGCACAGCCCCTGCGGCTCCCCCAGCCCCTCGCCCAGCCAGCTGGAAGCTCTCAGGGGGCAGTGGGCAGGGGCAGCGGTGCAGACGGTCCTGCCCCCTCCACAGAGCCAGCAGGGGGCCTGGTCTGAGGACGAGAGCCTCTGGGACGTCTCCAGCCTCTTAGAGCGCTGCCAGGGGCAAGAAAGCACACAGCAAAGCTGCAGTACTGGGGCAGCCAGTAGCTCTGGCTCCCTCCCGTGTGAGCCATGGCCAGAGCCCTGCGACACGTCAACGTCATCAGACACATCCACCGACTGAGCTGCTGGGGGCAGTCTACAGCGTTGGCGAGTCGAGCCCAAGTCAGCTCCAGCTGTCTCAGCACAGCAGCCCTCTCTCTTCAGGGAGGCACTGCGGGCTCTGCGCAGGGCATTCCGCCGGCCCTGCCTGGTGGGGCAGCATGGCGGCTCCCAGGCTGCGGTGCTGCCCGCGCTGACATCCGCCTGATGGCCGGTCACCACGGGTGTCTCCCAGGGCTCACTGTTGGGGCCTGTGCCGTTGCTCTGCTGGCTTGTATTGCCCTTTCCCCACTCATCGAGGGCTTTGCCTGACTGCCACGGCTTTTCCAAAATGATGCCTAGTGGCCTAGCCACTTTGTCTGCCGGCTCCCT